AGCTCGAAAATAATGCCTAAAAAGAAACATTCTCCAAGACCTATTTTCCTAGTGATTTTCATTAAAGAAAAGGAATCCTTCTAAAAACACAGCTAGCCCTCCAGATATACTAAACAATAATTGGAGTCATATAAATACAAACAAAATATGTACTAGAAATATATAATTCTAATTATATAAATATAGCATCTGAACAAAATATATGCTGTATGACATAAATGTTTTGAATTATAGAAGCGTATATACACATGTGTTCACACGTGACACAGCACATGTGCACATTGTATCCCAACCAACTTCACCCCCTCTGCTACTCTCTCCCATCTCACCCCTCCCTTCTTAATATGATTTCAACAGGTTGCATTGTCATACACGCAAATAAATTTCTTCAACTGTATTCATTCTCATTCATCTTCTTTAACCTCCGGCTCCCATAGGTACTGAAGGATCCTCTAATAGAGCCTTTCCTGTCATCCTTTTTTTTTTTTTTGCCAGTGTGTTTGTATTAACTGCAGCAATGGTACACATACTGTACTTTGTTCTGAGTAACCGCTACATTGCCTCCTCCTTCCCCACTCCACCCTGTACTGAACCACACTTTTCACAGGGACCCCTGTCCTGCCTTCATGCATAGTGCATTTCCAATTTAGAGGATGGCATATTTTTGTATATGGAAAGGAAACAAACCTAATCAAGCACGATCACTTGAAAGCATCTGGTACAATGGAAAGTTGCTTGGCAAGGTGTATTGGGTAGCTCCATTGGGTGTTTTAAGGCTGACGTGGGGCATAACGGTCACATTTTTTTTCAACTACATTTTCGTCAAATACAGTTTAATTTCAGATTTTGTGTTATGTTTTATGGACTTCAACTATTTTTCACAACTCATAAACTGACACAGAAAATCACTATCAGTATATAGCTGTTGGCCTGTGTGGATAATTTTGTGTGGTCTGAGAAGGATGTTATAAATATCCAAATGGATGAGAATCCACACCTCAAATGTGAAAACCTACTCTCCTCCCGGCCAACTTCCCCCACCCGCTAGGTAACAGGCACCTGAGTTCCCCAAAGCAGGACACAGTAGGATGAACCTGCACCTGCTCAATGGGTTTGCACAATGGGCTCCCGAGAACCAGGCCTAAGTAAATCACTTCAAGCAAAACCACAAACTTGCAAAGCACATCCGGGAACTTTTTGTACCCTGCAGCCACTACTTAAGTCCCTTCACCCCTGCTCATCATTATGTCTCCTGTCTCCTGACTCTTCTCAGGTCACCTCTTCAACTTTCCTTCAAGTTGATTTGGTCTGTTGAGGTCATTTTCTGCTCTTTTTTAATTCTAATACCTCATGACTCAGTTTCCTTACACAAATAGATTTGACCAAAAAAAAATCCTCAAACAACAATAATAACAAAAAACAGACAAACAAGGTGATACACCCCTAGAACAGAGTAACAGGTCACCTTAGGTAAGATACTTGACTGCCTGGTCTCTTCTTACTGTATGCAAACTTAGGTGCCAGAGATAACATTGAGACTTCTGAATCCTGTGTGTGTATGTGTGTGTGTGTGTGTGTGTGTATACGTGTGCACACATGCACACTTATGCGTGTGCCCTTTTGCCAGTACTGGGGTTTGAATTCAGGACCTTGCAGTCTTGCTTGGCTTTTTCTGCTCATGCTGGCACTCTACCACTTGAGCCATACCTTCCTTTCTATCTTTTTTGCTGGTAATGGACTCCCTTGCCCAGGCTGGCTTTGAAACTTGATCCTCAGATCTTAGCCTCCTGAGCAGGAGGTGCATGAGCACCTAAGCCCAGCTTGACTTCTGAATCTTTGTCCGTCGTGGGGCCTGAACTCTGGGCCTGGGCACTGTCCCTCAGCTCTTCAGCTCTAAGGCTGGCACTCTACCACTTGAGCCACAGTGCCACTTCTGGCTTTTTCTGCTTATGTGGTACTGAGGAATTGAACCCAGGGCCTCATGCAAGCAAGGCAAGCACTCTACCTCTGAGCCACCTTCCCAGCCCCTTGACTTCTGAATCTTAAAAGTTAGCCAGCTGACTACTGTTGAAAATTAGCCAACCACTGTTCTTGCCAGTTTACTCTGAACATGCATCTTGTGTCTCTATAGGAGGTAGAGATACCTTTCAGCTGTAGAAGTTCTGCATTTGTAATTACACAGAGTAGATTCTAGAATGGAATTCACCAAGGAGTCCCATATGCAAGCTGGAGGGAAACAGAAACTCTGAAGGCTCCTGAGTCTTGAGCAAGTGAATGACAAATCCAAGTCCAAAGGAAGTAGAGGAAGAATGTGTGTCTGAGGGGGGGAAATATTTCCTTTGCCCAGACAAGTGAAGTTTATGTCAAAAGTGAGTAGTTTTATTTGCGACTGATTAACAGTGATTAATTTATAAAAAGCCTTCCCTCTGGAGAGCACGGGCGCTTTATTTCCTAATTGGACAGGGCTGTGCCCATAAATAAAAGAGACTCTCAGCTGCCTGTAGAGAAGACACTCTGGAGGAGACAGGCTTGTTCTTGTCTCTGTCCAGATTTACTGGATGACCTTGGGCAAATCATTTATCTTCCTCCAAAACAGCTTCCTAATTGTAAAATGGAAATAAAAATACTCACTGTCTTTGCTGAAGATTAATGAGAGAGATGACGCTTCCTTTTCTCCCAGAGGGGAAAAGACCAAGTATAGGAAAGCAAAGAACTCAAGTTCCTTTCACAAAACTTAACAACATAACAATAAACTCCTGGAAAGCTGTTAGCTTCCTGGGGTAAAAAGGAAGCAAAAAGGACTCACCTTTTACTACAGGCCTGTTCTGTCTCACAGCTGCAATCCCTGAATTGATTCCTCACAATTTCAACACTTCCACCGTGAGCCAAGGAGCAAATCTATATTCCCGTGACTCAGTTTCTTCCTGTGTAAGGTACTGGCTACCACTAGTGGTGTTATGCAGATCATTCTACCCTATCACTAATTTTCCAATACATATCTGCCGATGATAATGTCTTGGTTTTTTAAATTAACTAATATAATTCAAACTACTGAAATATTTCCCTTTTCAAAGTCGCGTCTTTATGAGAGAGTGTTGGGATACAAAGATAAACGTGATGTCAACATTTGTCCTTTAAAAAGGTGGCAGGTGGGGGTGGGGGAGGGGAGGCCAGTTAAAGCCCTGAAGACCAAGTCCTCCTTCAGCTGAACAAATCGAGCTCTGGAGACGGGCAACGCCTTGAAGTTCTCCACTGCGGGCGCTGGGGGGCACTGTGGGTCCGCTTTGGCGACGAAGAGGTGGCGACCCGCGTCGGGCAGGGAGGACTGGGCGCGTCCCCCGCCCGGCCAGCGCCCCGGGAGCGGCGCACACCGCGGCGTCCACGACCCGGCCCGGGGGACCCAGAGCCGAGACCACACGCAGCCCCGCAGCTGCTCGTATCTGTCTCCCCGTCCGCCCCGATGGACAGCTGCTTTGAATTTGAGCTCCTGGAGTCCCGCGGCCAGGGAACGTGGGCACCCCACCGCACCCCAATTCTAGGGAACCTTTCAGGTGCGCCCCCTCGGGGGCATCAAGATCTGTCCTCCGATGCCTCAGGGGTCCTGAGGAGGAGCCGGGCTCTGATGCAGGGGCAATCCCCTGATTCCCTAACCGTCCCCCCCATCCCCAGGCGTCAGCGATCCGGAGATGAGTTTGAACCCGCTGGGTGCCCGCCCTGCAGCGTCCCCCCACCCCGCCCCGGGAACCAGAATCCTGGGGAGCCGCAAAGAGGATGGGAGGAGGGAGCCCCCCACTTCCTCAGCCCTCGGGGTCACCCCCCACACCCCGCCATTCCCCAACCCCAAAGGTAACTCTGGAGAAGAAAAGTCCGAGCGTGGCCCGGAGCGAGGCGCGCGGGGGGGCGTGTCCGACGTCCACGCGCACCCGCGGCGGGGGGACCGGAGGGGGGTCGGCGGCGATCCGGGGTCTCTGGGACTCCCCGCCCGCCCCGGCAGCACAGCCCCCCCCCCCCCCGCCCCGAGGCCACCCAGGCCAAGACCAGGCCAGGGGAGGACGTGGGGAGGGCGCGCGAGCGGGAGGGGGCCCAGCCCAAACTTTCGCGGACCATCTCAGGGTGTGGCGGGAGGGGAGTCCACGCGCGCAGCGGGAGACGATCCCGCCGGGCGGCCGGGCGGTGCGCACGGGGGCAGCCTCCGCGCCCCTCCCCGCGTTGGGACCAGAGTGGGCGACCGCGGCTGCAGCCCGATCGCCGGGCTGGGCTGGAGCCCGAGAGCGGGACCGGGAGAGAAGGAAGCTTCCAGGCGCTTCGGGCGGGGAGAAAGGACACCTGACGTCCCCACCTCGCCCCCCCACCCGTGCCCTGGGGCGGGCGCCCCGGCTGCGCGCAGCCCCCTCGGGACGAAGCGAGCGCAGCCTGGAGAAGTGGAGCTTGAAGAGAACCCAGACCCAAGGGCAAGCCGCCGGAGCCGGGGGGGGGGGGGGGTGCGGGGCGCGCGTGCGGACGCCCCCCGCGGTGGCCGCGACGAGGATGCGGCGCGCGGCCCCGGGACGGTCCCGGCTGGGGGAAGTCCGGGGCGGGGCGGCGCGGCGCTGACCGGCGCGGACCGAGGGGGTGCGGTGGGGGGGTGAGGGGGGTGTGCCCGGGCCCCGCCCGTCTCCGCCCCTCCCGCGCCCGCCCTGCGCCCCTCCCCTCCCGCCCCTCCCCTCCCTCCCCGCGCCGGCGGCGGCGGCCGCGGCGGCGCATCCAGGGGCGGCGCGGAGCCGAGCGGCTTCTCGCAGCCGCCAGTGCCCGGAGCTCCGCGGCGGCTCGGGGGGTTCCCTTCGCCGCGGTCACGCGGCTGCTTCTCCCCGGCGGCGGATGGCGATCCTCCGGCCCGATCCTTGGGCTTAACGGGGAAACTTTACCGCGGCGTCTCCCCCCGCCCGCCCCACTCCACGCCCCTTGGAGGAACGGATCAAAAGTTGGGCGAACTGGTGCGGCGCGCGCCGCGAGGGCGCGGGGCCGGCGTCCGCCGCGGTGCCCGGCCACGCCATGGGCACCAACATAGTTTACGAGTGGCTGAGAGCGCTCCAGCTCGCGCAGTACGCCGAGTCCTTTGTGGATAACGGCTACGATGACCTGGAGGTGTGCAAACAGATCGGGGACCCGGACCTGGACGCCATCGGGGTGCTGGCGCCCGCGCACCGCCGCCGCATCCTGGAGGCGGTGCGCCGGCTGCGGGAGCAGGACGCGGCGGCCGCCGGCCTCTACTTCACCCTGGAGCCGCAGCCCGCGCCGCCCGCGCCGCCCGCCGACGCCGCGGCCCCCGGCCGCCGGGGGGAGCCGTGCGGCGGCCCCGGCCCGGGCACGCGCGGGGACCCTCGGGGCCAGACGACCGCCCCCCGCAGCCGCGAGTTGGTGAGCTACCCCAAGCTGAAGCTGAAGATCATGATCCGGGATAAGCTGGTGCGCGACGGCATCCACCTGAGCAAGCCCCCGTACTCCCGCAAGGTAAGGGGCGCGGGGCGGGCGCGGGGCGCGGAGAGCGGGGCGCGGGGCGCGCGGCGCGGGCGGCCTCGGCGGGGCGCGGCGGCCGGTTCCAGGGCAAGGCTGGGAGACTGGGATGTTTGGGATTGCTGGAACACTCTTCTGCGCTCTCTCCCTCATTCCCTCCCTCCCTCCCTCTCTTCCCTTCCTTCCTTCCTTCCTTCCTTCCTTCCTGGTGTCACCGGTGGTTGGTAAGGCAAGCCCCTGCGCCCCGATGTGAACTCACAACCAGGACCAAGGCGCCTGTGGTATCAGGGGCTCACCTCTCAGGACCTGGGCTGGAGATGCTGGTCCTTCTGGCACATTCCAAAGGCCTCTCTGGAATAATAGTGTTTGGGATGAGAGGGAACCCACTGCCCCCCCAAAAAGCAAAGGTTAATACAGACATGGTGTTTGGCATTCCGATTCTGCTGTCTCAACTGTCTCTGCTTGGAGTTTGGGTGTGTGATCTGGAAAGAGGAGCCCGGTTGCTCTTCATTCCATCTGGCTGAGTTCTCGGCCGTGCCGTGGAGTTGAGAGCTTTCCCGGTAACGGGCACATCCCGTGAGGGCACAGTGAACGCAACCCCATCCACGCGAGCGCGCGCGCGCACCCAGCAGAGAGACATTCCTGAAGCGCAGCGCCCCAGGGGTGAGGGGCTGGAGGGCTGGCGCCGCCGCAGCCAGCGCGGGGCGCGCCTTGGGGAGGAGGCTCGCGGTGGTTTCCCATCTCGGTGAAAGAAAGTAGGTATGATGGTGACTTTGGAAACTCCAGGTGGAGCTGCGAACGAGAGGGAGGACAGAGGACAAGAAAGTGACTTTTTCTGAAAGAGAAAAAATTCTCCCTCCATGGCAGAAGCTGGAAAGTTCTGGAAGCCTGGTGATGAGAGCTGGAGTGTGGAGTGGGTTTGGAATGTTAAGAGGGAAAGTGCCAGAGCTCTCCGTGGGTTTTAGGTAGGCAAAGAGGGGGGCGGGAGGGAGAAGGAGAGGGAGAGAGGGAGGGAGGGAGGGAGGGAGGAAGGGAGGAGAAAGAGAGCACCCGCCAGCCCAGGTAACCTTGGGGTGGCAGCCAGTGTAAGGGAGGAGGGGTAGCAGGACTGATCTAAGTGTTATGTGGGTGTCTTTCACCCCCGAGTTGCTTTGTAGTCATAAGCGAAGGTCATGATGCCTAGCTTGAAGGAGGTTCAGGAGAGAGAGCTTTATGGGAAGTAGATGGGAGCAAAGGCTTTCATATCCACCCCTTATCTAGCAGGCCAGGAAGGCAGTGCTTGAGCATACAAATGGACTTTGTAAAGAGAACAGGTTGGGAAGATGGGTGGACTCACGATCACCATGGGCTCCAGTTACCTGCGCCCACAGCACCGTGGGTGGGTTGCTAAAAGGGGAGAGGACCTGACGGAGTTGCTTGTGCAGTTAGCATAACCCCGTATCTGTCAGTGGGTCACAGACTTAGTACTGGACCCAAGGAGCCATGTGCCTGTTTGTTTATTCTATGCTAGGAGGTCCTGGTGGATTAGCTGAAGGGAGGAGAGTATCTGAGCACCTAGAAAGGACCCGGTTCAAGTCTGGCCCAAACAGGGATGCTGAGAGCCAGGTGTGTGACTAGGGCTGTGGAATGAATTCATGTTCTGGAACACGGCAGTGCTGGTAGGAGCAGAGGAGCTGCAAAGGCTGAGTGCCGGAGGTAAGCCGTTAGCACGAAGGAATGCCTCTTGATTCGGTTTTGTACAAAGTACCAGACTTTGCCCAGCACTTGAAGATGAGCAGAGTCTGTATGTTGGCTTTGAACTGTGGGCTCCTGTTTAGATCAATGAGTATTGCAGTTTTGTAAGTCAGATTGTATATGAAAAAAAAACCCCAGTAAACCCTCAAACTTGTATTCTTTGCTTTTTGTGCAAAGAATTGTTGGAGTTGACTTTGTTCATTTATTTAACTGTGAAGCTCAGACTGGCCTCAAATTTGTAATCCTTTTGCCTTAGCCTCCTAAATGCAGAGCCAATAGGCACATGGTAACATGCCTGTTTTTCAACTTTCCTTTCATCTGAATCCTATACTAACAATGTGTGAGAAGAGATGCCCCGGGTCATCCTCTGTCTATATTTAACACACCTTTTCCAACTAAGGGAAGAATACATTGGGTGCACAAGTGTACTTATTATTTCCTTCATAGATGATCCAGTGGGGGACCCCCAAAATTAGAACTGACCAATTTTTATCATGAGAAACAGTAATACACACACGCAGATGTGGGATTTTTAATTAATGTACACGCACCTGAACATATAAGCGTGAAGTAGCTGATCACATTCATTTGGAATTTGTTGCTTAGCCATAAATTGGCTCTCAAGTGTTGGATTCTGAGGGATTTAGAGTTTTTCTTTTTTCTGATACAACTCATTCCCTCAAGAACAGTGTTGAGAGCTTTTCATTAAAGTGTGACGCACATTGTAAGTTTCCCACCATCCTTGCTTCTGTATTGTTTGATCATGTACATACGTGCACTTGGAGTTCTGCTCACTAGATAGTTTCAGCCTTCTTTATAGACTGTGTGTTAGGAATCCCTTCGTGTTTGTGCATTGGTAAGGATATTAGAGGGTTTGCCATTGGATCAACCAAAGATCATCAAGATGGGTGTAGTGAGTCTTTTGCAAAGGAGTATTCAGCTGAAGCACTTCTCCAAGAATCACCTGAAAAGACTGTAGGACCTGCTTTCATAACAGTGAAGGAGGTATCCTGGCTTAAATATCAACAAGTTGAAAAGGCAGGTAAAAGCCAGGCACCGGCCTCACACCTGTAATCCTAGCTACTCAGGAGGCTAAGATCTGAGGATCCTGGTTCAAAGCCAGCTAGGGCAAAAAGTCCCTGTGAGGCTCTTATCTCCAACTAACCATTTAAGAAAAAGAAACAAACCGAGGGGCTGGGAATGTGTCTCAGTGGTAGAGTGCTCGCCTAGCATGCACAAAGCCCTGGGTTCAGTTCCTTAGTACCACATACACAGAAAAAGCCAGAAGTGGTGCTGTGGTTCAAGTGGTAGAGCAAAAACTCAGGGACAGTGCCCAGGCCCTGAGTTCAAGCCCTAGGACTGGCAAAAAGAAATATAAAAAACAAAAACAAAACCAGAAGTGGAAATTTAGCTCAAATGAGAGAGAGCACTAGCCTTACAAAGAGACTCAGGAGTGTCCAGGCTCTGAATTCAAGCCCCACAACCGACCAAAAACAAACGCTGGTAACAAGTAAGCTCCTCCTTGTTTTCCAAAGGAAGACTGTACTTTTGGAAAACCATGAGCTTGGAAAGAGCCCCAGGCTTGAGACCAGAGGACGTTGGGTGAGCTTAGGACTCCTTGAATGTGCTTGGCTTCCATGACCTTATGATTTCTATGTTTGTGACATGGAGGGTTTCTTTTTATAAGCCTTAACTCCGCCCCTCAGTGCCATGCTTTCATTGGGGCTCCAGTTACGGTGGGAGGCGACGCAGATGGATGGATATCCTGCTTTCAGAGATCTCAGGGTGGGCAGGGAAGACATTAAATACGATGAGCAATTGTATGACGTGTGGTGATAGCTTTGGGAAGCCTACAATACCCAGCTCAGGCGCATCCATCTTGGAGGAGGAGATGTGGGGGAAGTGGCGTGCTGGAGGCCGCTGGAACCAGTGATGTTTCACCGAGGGGAGATGCAGCAGCACATCAGATGGGGAGCAGGTGGAGCAGGGATGGAAACAGATGGGTGGGGAGCAGCAGTTGCACCCCCGAGGACCCTGGCAATGGCGGACATAGCAGTAGAGACAGGACACGCACTGCCTTTTTGTGGTGTGTGAGCAGATACAAGAGCTACAGCTAGAGGAAGAAGCGATCCCTCAGATTAAAGAAAGGACGGTTTGTGTGTAAGGCTGTGAACATACGTATATGCTCCTAAGAAACCCTAGGAACCACGCACCTGGACCAAGTGGGAAATAGGGCCCACGTGAGGGCAGGACAGTAGCTTCCTTCCGGTGGATGAGCGCTCCTTTGCCATGGTCGAGGGGGGAAGGGCAGGGGGACACCTTATATCACTGGTGAGTGACATTAAAAAGCTGCTTCTCTGACCAAATGATACAAGTGAGGATGAAAGGGAAAGTTGGATTAATGTGTTGATAGTAGATGCTTATAATTGTACCCAAATATAATCAGGGCCTGATAAATTGGATAGGATTAAATATAATCACACACAGAGAAGAGTACCCTCACCATCCATATAGTTGTAAGTTGTAAGGCTGGTAATGGGCGGTGTTTTCTTGAGGAGTGTTGGTAATGCGTGTGACTGGGTTAGCGCAGGTAAGGGGTAGCATTGTAAAGGTGCAGGTTGGGGCCTTGGGTAGGTAGCAGGTGGAATAGGCATTTAACCTTCTTCCCTGAAAAATATCTCCTTGCTCATCAACCAATAGAAAGTATTTGAGTGAGTAAAACCTCACTGGACCATGCTGCATGAGGGTTAATCTTCATTTGTACTATAGTGCGAATTGAATTAATTAGCAGGACTCCGTGGTAATGAGGTCTCCGTGGATGTGCTGGAGAGGGCTGGCCTAGGATGGAGGAATCTGGAGAGACCGAGGTGGCGGGAAGGCATCCATGTGGAGAACATACAGAAGAAAAACTTAGAAAAGAAGGAGAGATTTTCAAAGTTACTTTTCAGGTCTTTTGGAATTTTTGCCTGGGGTCTTGACAGGAGCTGAAATGGCAATAGTATTCCAAGAATTCCTTCTGCTGGGCAAAGCTAGTACACTCCAGTTTTTCCAACTTAATAGTTTGAACTATCCTCTACTAGTTCCTTTTCACCATTTTTTTAAGTTAAGGTAAGTGGATCCATCATCCATCCATCCATTCATCCATGAGCATGTGTTCTTAGGTTTGCAGAGATCTGGAGAGACATAGTCTTTGTTTATACGTGGAAGGTTTAATCTATCACCTGACATATAGTAAGTGTGCCATATCTCAGTCAAATGTTACT